GGACCAGGCCCGCCAGCCGGTCCCGGGCTCGTGGGCTTACCAAGGAAGACCAGCCCGCCTCGGGCTTTAAGAGACCGCTAGGACCGGCCCACCAGGACCGGCCCACTAGGCCCGTGAGGCCCGTTAAGACCGCGGGCCCGGTCGGTCCGGTTCGGGACCGGCCCACAGTGCAGCATTAGGGCAGAGTGGTATGTTATACGAGGATAGAGAAAGTCGTGCGGCTCCTTTCCCCATCACTTTAGCTGATGACCTTATTAAATTATCTTCTTAAATTGCTGTCAAGTTTTGTTGATTGCTTGATTACTACTTTTGCAGGAGTCAAGCAAGAGTATCCAGATAGAAGCATTCCATGTTTTCAAGGTATTCTCTATTGATTTAATATTTTTACCATGTCTGCTGATTGTTTCATTAGCAGCGGCTTTTTCTCTGACTTTCAAGTTCTGCAGTTATTTGCTGCAAACCAGAACAAGCCTCCAGATATTGTTAGCATCCTTGTCGCTAGCAGAAGCAAGCTCCTGCGCCTCTTTGCTGATTTTAAGACTGACAAAGATACGTACACAGTAGATATCGATTAAGAATAGGTACATGCACAATAAATATGAATACAGAGCTGTATCTTGTGAAAGAATGCCTCATAATTTTCCTAACTTTATCTGCAGAGGATAAGCAGTTTGAGGCTGAGAAAACGCAGGTTGTCAAAGAAATTGCAGCTCTTGAAACCAAGGAACTCTCTTGAACTCAGACTAGGTAGTTCCTCAACTATCAGGTGATGTTGTTGTATGTGTAAATGAAAGAGGGTGTTTTCTCACTGGACGATATTTTACTGAATTATTAGTCTTAATTCTTGAAATAACTATTTAAATGTCGCCTTATTTTTCGTGGTTGTTTGTCACTTGTCCTTGTTCCTGATCGCCATGATCTATCCAAGAACTTATCAGAGTCTGCTGCTCCTCTTTGAAGGATATGGAGAATATAAGCGTCTGTTCTGATTCCTGAACTTCTTGGTCTATCCCTACACATATGCGCGTATTAGCTATTCTAGATTTAATACTGCCAGTCAAATATTGCATAAGTTATAGAGAGTTTAATATCGCCAACCAAACATTGATTTGAGTTAGCTATGCTGATATTTTTTTCCTTAAGCAGCCACCTGAGTACTTTAGTACTATGTATGCATAATTATTGGCAGATCATTTTCATTTATGCGACCAACCAAACGATTTACGATGCATGGTTTTGATGATAAAAAGGTAAAAAATAAAGTGTTATATTTTGTGTATAAAAAAAGTAGTTAACTTAACATATAGAGGGAGAATGCGTCTATTTGCAGATTACACACATAGTTTTGTAAGTAGCATGAAAGCGAGAAAGTTTGCTTAATGAAACTTGGGTTTTGTAATTTTTCCGAAGGCATAACGAGACTGAGGTAGGTGTCAACCACCTTTCCTTCTCTACCTTTTTCTTAAAAAATTTAAGCTACTTAGACTGATGTTGGCGATTTCAGAGGGAGATACCTTACCTGGTGCTACTCATCTTGATCTTTATTAAATAAGGATGCGAGGTCACAGAAACTTTGGAATAAGGAACACAGCCTCTTTGTATTGAAGGGGTAGGGCAGCACCCTATAATATGTTGGATTGGGCTATTTCCTATTAGAATGCAGGAAATTATACCCAATGACTTGANCCCCCTCCCTACCTCATGAGTAGGGTGGCAAATAGGCGAGACAGATTGGATATGGGCGAGACGAAATGGGTAATGCAAAAATGGTTAAGTTATCTGATCCAACCCATATTTAATATAAATAAAAAATGGGTTAACTGGCGGATAATATAGATATGGTAGATAATAGGGAGAAATTCAAAAATAGCCAGATTTACAAGTGGTCATTCAAAAATAACCACAGTTTCAAAAGTAATCGAAATTAGCCACTTTTCATGTAAAGATAAATTTGAACGAAAATATTGTTCAAAATCTAGAAAAATACTCCAGCATAATATACTGGAGTGCCAGTATAATATACCGGTCGAGCATAATATACTGGAAGTTCATACACAGATGCACCAAACTCCAATATATTATGCTGGACCGGTCTATGTTGCAGCAAAATAGCGGCTATTTTTCATTGACTTGGCAAACGCTGACTATTTTTGAATGACCAGTCCGAAAACTAGCTAGACCGTGCTATTTTAACTAGATAATATGAATATCCATATTATCCATGGCTTTTTGATATGATAGTCTTCCAAACTTGAGGAACCCCAACTTTCAGTCTTAGTAAATGTAAAAGTTAAACCCATTGGTTATTCATTTTTAAGGGAATAGTATGGATCTTATCTATATTTGATCCATTTTAAAAAAAATTATTATCCAACTTATTTTCTAATGAATAATATGGATAGATAATTGTTTTCTGAATCAATTAAACCTTTAAAATCAAAAGTCAACAGGGTTGCCTATGGGACAAGCGAGGGGTAACACTTACTAAATTTGAAGTTGCGTGAATGGAGCTTGCAGAGTCAAAAAATCAAGAGTGGGCACCAAAGTGTCTTATTAGTGCAAATCACTCGTAATAGGAAAAGACCTATTAGAAGCTGCAATGAACGTTAGAGGATTCATGGCTTTTCCAGTAGATAGTCACTCTTTTTTAAGCGAATTAGAAGGGTGACTCCAGCAATTTATTAAAATAGAAAAAGATGAGTTTTAGAGAGATGTCTATGGACACAACCATGGAAGATGGGGAATCCTATATTTCTAATACGGATGCTATCATCAACGGCACTTCTGCTTGATCTCAGGTCCCAACATCCCTGCTTTAATTTGTCTTAGACGAGTGCAGATTTCGACAGCTGGTGCTGGTGGTGGTGATGATGATATGATGATTGTATCAGCAGGTGCATCTTCCATGTTATTGAATACTACATGTAGCTGATCTCTTATATATAGGAGTAATAAATATAGTTAAATATGGGAGTAATTACTTCAATTACATTTCCTTATATATAGGAGTAATAAATATAGTTAAATATGCAAGAAAAAAAAGGTGCATTCATTCCGTTAATAGTTCGATTCAAAATAATACACCACATTTTCCATTGTTGAACAACAAATTTTGAGTATCTTTTACAGCATTTCGGTAAAGTTTAAGAAAAGATACTCATTTCGAGATTTCCAAGAGAAAGGATTACGCCAAAACAACAAAAGACAAACACAGACAAAATGGACGAATCAAACTTAGAATTTCAGGTGAAAAAGAAAAAGCCAGTTAAAGTACAGAAGGATAAAAGAAAAACCCAATTGATAACTAATTTACATGATTTCCTGAGATCCTAAAGAAAAGGTTATGTTTCAAGTTCACATAGCGGAACATCTAGTGGAACTCATTAGAATAACACTCCACACTCACCATAACATCTAAATATTTCAATATATCAAGGATTTTCCCAATTTGGAGGGAGAAGATCACACAACAATAGCTGATAAAAAAGATTATTTTAGATTGGCCAAAACTATAAGCAGTAATTTTATTGACGATTAACATTTCTTTTCTTATAAAAAAAAACAAAGAAGTGGTTAGCATAACTTTTAGAAGCGAAAAAAGAAAACTGTTTTAGTTGACTCAATAGTAATTTTTAAACTAGCTCAAATTCTCCGACGCCTAATTGATATAATATTTCTTCAATTATAAAATTCAGCCACCATTAGTATTTGTTTGGGTAAAGAGAAAACATATATAAATAGCCTCCAGTCTTTAATCCTGGAGAAGTCAAACGCTAAACTCTTTGATTGATGGCCTACGTACTAGTTTATGAAATTTACAAATGCATAAAAAGTGTTGAATGCCAAAGCTTTGGAGCTTAGAAAATAAGGTCAAGATAAGCAAATTTCTATATATAAAAATTAGATCATACATACAATCATTATATTAAACCACATTTCCTCTCTAGCAGAAAATTTAAATAACATATAGTATTATTATTTTCGTAATTAACTTACTTTCACAATATCACCAACTCAATATGTGGAGGTACTTCACCTTGAAGCTGCAGCTTAGCGAAATTTCTTAAAATTTCATCTGGTGCCACCCTGTGACGATGAACATACTGAGTAGAAGGATCAACGATGATTTTCTCAAGCACCATAGCATTTTCCAGAAAATACCTAACGAGTTCAACTTCACTAGTGCGGCCATAATATCCAGACAATCTGAGCACTTTGAGGTGATGGAGTGGACATCTTACAGCCTTCCTACACTCTCTTTCTGACCTCGAGGGGTCGACCCACAATAACTGCCATCCATATAAGAAAATTAAACCACAGAAAGAAATCAGGAGAATATGAAAATGGAGCTTTTTTTTATAACCAAGAAATCTCCAAGGGCTAGCAAAAGCACCAGGGACTTGGTTTTTATAAACCTATTAGCCCTGTTTGACTGCTCCCAGTACCACATAACATAACTCGTTCTCGAGTTGACAAATTCAACATTTTGCAATCATCATCTATAAGTTGCCCATTATCACTTGAAAAGAAAAGAAAAAAAAGCAAATTCTAAAACAAGCCCAGAAATAAGGTCACGAATTAAGACATAAGTGACTTATCACTTGGTGTTCATGTCAAACTCATAACTATCACCATAATTTTATTAACTCGTTCAAAGAACTAACCTACCACAAGTATAAGCTAGCACAGCCTTGTGGCCAACCTTGCAGGCCCTAGATAAATCACAATTGAGATCTACAGGCTGCAACAAATAAAGAGCTACATGCTGCCTATGATTAGGGCTGTGCATTTGGATCGGATATCCGAAATCCAATCCAATCCGCTCAATTTCGGATTTAGGATATTTGGATCGGATCCGAATTTAGTTTATTAAAATTTTGGATATTCTGATCGGATTCAGAATGGTATAATTTTAACCCGATCCAATCCGAAATCTGAAACTATTAGGGCAAATATAAATACCAACTTTAATTTTAGGGTTAGGTCTATTTCATTTCAGTCTTTTACTCTTCTCTGTGTTACAACTCCGACAGACCGAGAGTCCGAGATTGCTGCTCGCTTCCTCTGTCTCTTCTCTGTGTGGCACTTTGACAAACGATGATACACACTGTTTATTGGTATTTAGAGATATCAACATTTTACTTTGACACCCAGTTCACAATAAGAGGCCTACAATCTTAAGCAGATTTAAACATTATAATCATGGAGAATTAGTTTATGTTGAAGCTCTAGTCACTATCTGACTTTAGTTCCCATCACTACAACAAAGGCTTAGTCCTTAGCTGTTTATCCTTGTTCAGATTTGTCTTTCAATCCAGAAAACTACTGAATCTTTGGCTGGAAAAAGTGGCCATGTGAAGGTGATTTGCAGTTAATCTGTTTACCTAACTAATACCGCAAATGGAAAAAGGCAAAAAAGGATAAAAGAAAAAGTTCTTAATAATACGTATAATCCAATCCGAAAAATTCAAAATATTAATCGATCTGAAGTTTAAAATCCAATCTGATCCAATATTAATTCGGATCAGATTTGGATTGCATGGAATCCGAAATCCGAAATGTGCTAAATCCCATCCGATCTAATCCATGCACAGCCCTACTATGATCACACTTCGGGTTAATATTCTACCAAAAGGGCTTAAGCCAAGGAAGTCATAATGAAAGAATTTTGGAAGCCATTAAACCAGTGATTAATATTCAACCGTCATATTTATGCCAGCACGTGCACATCCAAAGAGCTAACTTACAGATTTTCAAATGTTATCCAATACCTCAAATCAATGATTCCACAGGGAATGAACGAGTGCTACCCCACCTCTTTCCCTTTCCTTTATTTTTCCTAGGCCAATACACAAGAACTGAAAAAATGTCTAACGTGCTGGAAAAGACATAATCGTCGAATTAGATGTCTACTAAGTACTTCATATCAAATTGAAAGATCTATTAAAGGATCCTATCAAATAGGCTGCAGAACGGATAAAAATGATTACTTGGTTCATCCCA